TTAGTGTCAGTTTCCTTGGGTTAACACATGGTTTAAACTAAATTCCACCACAAATGACTGTGTACGCTTAACATGTCAGCATATGTGTGTCTATATGTATTAAAATAAATTAAAATTTGTTGAAAATTAATACAGTGCAGATCCCGAGTAATATTGGTTTGTTATCAAGATGTGTCAGCTAGCAGCCATTGCACGCTTCTCTGGGTGAGCAGACGACAGCAGTTACAGGCGCAAATCATCAATATGGAAATGCATGACTCATGCATACGAGGTGTAGGAGGATTCGCCACACGTAATATTCACACTGTGTGGTATGCTGGCATGTCCAGGCCCTCATGACGAAAGATAGGAAGTGTCGAATTTAATTTCTTACGTGTTACACAATCAAACACAAGGTTCTTATTTAATCAAAAATAATATTCAAAGCCCCAGGATGGTAAAAAAAGTCTTACACTTTGTCCAAATTCTAAAAGTCAATCAAATAGATATTCCTGTTAGAAATCATCCAGTCTAAATCAGGTGAAAAAGTCTGTAAAATCACATTTTGTTATGAAAATGAAGTATTAAAAAACATCATTAACCAATGTTGAAATAAATTCAGATGCTTAATTCTGGCCAGATTGGTGACAAAGTGAAGACAAAAATAGAGAATGATTAAAAGTTACCAGTTTATTAGACTATTATAAACATCACAGATCAGGTATGATTCATGGAAAATACTGCATTGTCATTTCTATATCCCACCCCTCCTTATCAGTCCAAATACCCCAATATCAGCTCTTTGGAGCTTTACATCTGTCTGGGAAATGATGATATGACTCTGTGAATTAATAAAATCAGTAGACTAAATAGGAATTACCCGATAATACACTAATTTTACACTGTAATTCTAATTAAATACGAAATCACCAGTTCAAGATCTTTTCACTGACTTTAAATATCAGGGCTTTCAATAATAGACTCTTGAGAGTATGTTTTTGACTCCCTAAAATGATTGTTTTTTCTTAAGAAGAGCTCTATTTTACATATGCATTCTATTTTACTTCTGAAATGGCTAAATGTCAAAGGTTAAATGAAAGCCTCGATTTCTGAACCAAGAAGTTGGTTAATATGGACTATTTTTTCATTTTAGTCTTAAATGAAAAATCATTTTTTATATTTTCCCGATTGACTTGGTGATTAGTGTAAAATAACATACCAGGTAATGATTCATTCATAACACAAAAATTTGAAAAAGAACAGACTATAGTTGAAGATATTTTGATAAAGTTTCCAGATTATGAAGGTTTCTAGATTATAGAGGTTTCCATATTGTACAAGTTTCCATTTTATACAGATTAATTTAACACTGTCTGTCTGTGCCAGTTTTAGGAAAGTTTCCAAGACTATTAAGCACTATCAACTGTAGATATAAATATATTGCCGTGTACTGCAGATTGTAGGTATAAATATATTGAAGTGTGCTGTCGTCTACACAGTGAAATTGCACTAACCACAACAAAGTAATTAAAACATGTAAATTTAGACTCTTCTGTCAAAACTTTTAAAAACCCCAACCTGTTTCCATCTTTAATACATTCGTAATGAATATTTGTCATGTTAAGATGACGAAATGCTGACCTTCCCATGTTTTATAACAAATTGATTTACACTTTTAAACTTTCGATGGGTAGAACTAGATATCCTGTGACATCACGCACTGATTATATGTCGGGTAAACAAGTTGTCGGAACTACAGGTGACGTTGGTTGTTCTTATATTTACCACAATACATGTACAATAAATCAACATATATGTCTATTGTGAGGTAAATTTATATCATTACAAAAGCGATTTAAAAATGAAAGATGACACAGAATTTCTGATTTTGCTTAATAGGATTGATATCAATAAGTTTAAACAGGAATTGTCAGGCAAGTCTACTATACCCACTTGTGTTTTTTTAATGCAACGTCTAGGTGAGCTGAAAATTATATTAATGAAATAAATGTAATGTAATTAAAGCGATTTAAAAATGAAAGATGACACTGAATTTCCAATTTTGTTTAATAGAATTGATATCTATAAGTTTAAACAGGAATTATCAGGCAAGTCTACCTATACCTTATCCACTTGTGTTTTTTTTAATGCAATATGGCAAGGTGAGCTAAAAATATACCAATGAAATGAACTTGGGTGTCCATATTATAGTAAGAGACTGAAAAGGCATGTAATTTATAGAGATTTATCTGAGAATAATAATTTGAACTGTCTTAACACAGTAATTCCCTACTGACAGTATCGTACAGATACTGTAACACACAATTTTCATGGGAGCTCAACTGTTTGAAAACATTAACTTCTAAATACCAGCAAGTGATTCAGTTGACGTAAATATACTTTTTGTAAAATTGACTATGAAGGGACCAATCTAGACTTGGTTCACTACCGTTTATGGGTAGTTTCCCCCATAGAAGAACATTCCCCTGTTCTTTGAAATTCCCTCTATGTGCTTCAAAATTCCCCTATTTCAACAGGAAAATAGCGGATTTTCTTCAAAATATTTCCCCTATATGATTTCTTTAAAGTTCAACAGTTAAAATGCATAATACTGCATTCTGTATATACATTTTCTTCACATAATTTAAACAAAACATCTACAATTTTAAGCTTGAAGTTGTTTATAAATTGAAATATACTACACACATGTACATTGTATGTTCGACAAAACATTTATCTTTTACTTTCATGACGCTTAAAAACCTTGTATCAAAATTTTAATTTCCCCCAAATCTGAAAAAGGGTAGATTCCCCTCAAAACCTAGACTGATCCCTGATATGATAAGTACTTCAGAAAGACAATGTTCCAAAACACTGTCCACAGGGTACAACATCTCTGAAACATAGACCCAGGCTGGTCTTCCAATGGCCCAAGTCTGACCCTAAACATCACAACCATGACCATGAACTGTATTTGGACCACATTTCCTATCTGACCTTATGTCAACTAATAAAGTAAAATTTTATGCTTTTACAACTTGAACATCTAGTGATTGATGACAAGGATCCTAATGCCATCTATCTTATACATTTATATATCTGTTAAAGTGGAGATCACCCTACATTACCTTCAAACATATAATGTCCATTTTAACACATCTGCCCCTGAAATTTCATAATGAACTATTCCAACCTTTGAATTGGAAGAGTTCAAATGTGGATTCAGGGGTGAATGAGTTCCAAAGCCCTGTAATGACCACACTACCTTGCTAATATATTTAAATGTCTTGCTTACAAATTCTTCACCAATTTTACTTCATAGTTCGCACATGTCAGCCTTTTGAACTTTTATGTTTAAATCTCCATTGTCGAAATTGTCGCCCAAAACACAGATCAAAAAGACCTGCCTATACTTTGTATACCCAGATCGAATATAACATGTCATTTTATTTCAAATGGATCAGTCCAAATGGATCAGTCCAAATGAATCAGTACAAAGAAATTGAATGGATTGCCAAAAGTTTACAGTAAAATTCTGTGCCAATTTTTTTTTTGTCTGTTGATTACTTTTCCTGTATTTAAAATAAGGAAAAATGTTTAAATATTTGTTTCCATGAATTAAAATTGGTGTACTGGTAACATTGATGAAGATGAGGACAGCTGTCCTACAATAGCAAAGGAAGTTAAGTAAAAAGAATTTTCCTCCTCAACTTACCACTGAATCATGGACATTATAGAAAATAACTTCAGACAACCTGGCCCATGAAGTAAATTATGCTCTTAGACCTACACTGTCTTACACTGTAAGTGCCTATGGGTTTACTGTTAAGTTCAAACACTGTCCTCTGGGCTAATCAAAGGATAGATGTCTCTCCCCTCTACAACCTAATGTGTCTAAATGTCCCCTTCCCCTTTACAGTCTGATGTATTCTCCACAATGTCCTCTGGGCTAATTTAAGGATATATGTGTCTCCCCCTCTACAGCCTAATGTATCTCAATACCCCCTCCCCATTTATAGCCTGAGATATTCCCTACACTGTCTTCTGGGCTAATCAAAGGATAGATTGTCTCCCCCCTCTAGAGCCTAATGTATCTCAATGCCCCCTCCCCCTTTATAGCCTGATGTATTCCCTACACTGTCCTCTGGGCTAATCAAAGGATAGATTGTCTCCCCCTCTACAGCCTAATGTATCTCAATGCCCCCTCCCCCTTTACAGCCTGATGTATTCTCCACAATGTCTCGAGTCTCCCCCCTCCACAGCCTAATGTTTCCTGAAGCCCCCTCCCCCTTTACAGCCTATGAATTCCCTACTTACATGTCTTTCTTTACCACAAGGTAATGACTTTATGATAGGGCATTTGGAAGGTGTTCTAGCATAAAAATTCCAGTTGTGTAAATTTAAATTGAAGACTACGCCCTCGATTTCTATATAGTGTGGTAATTAACCCTTGGTAGATTCGGACCAGCAAACGTGTGTCAAAATCTCTAATCCTCCCTATAACCGTTTCCTGCTGGATGGTGGCCAAAGATTCACCAATAAATATCATCCGTCTTTGTACAGGTACAGCAAGGAGGTTCAAATTTTACAATGACACCAGAAAACCTTCACTTGAACTTATAATATCACCAGGAATCACTTCAGCATTTAATCCAATGTCAATATAATCAGAGCTGATATGTCAGGTGTTTTCAAAATTCAAAAACAAATCTGGTTTATAATGGCTATAAATATAACTTTATACTTCAATAGATTTAAAACCTATTGTAACCTTCAGATTTCTTGTTTTTCTTTTTCTCCTCTCATCATCTTTTTGGTTGTTGTTTACAAGGGCACATCTGGTTAGCCTGCCGTCAGAACAATGTGGCAGGATGGCTCTACGAAATGGACCTACAGTGGTCCATTGCTTTCAGACACTGTCATCCGTATATCAGACCTTACTTGTTGCAATGACATGAAACTTTACACAACCGTACAAATCATCCCCATCATCACATCACATATTGGTCAACATTACATACCTGCAACTGATGCGTGTGGAGCATTCAAAGCCGATTTCCTTGCTGCCGATTTATCTTTCCGCCTCTTCCTGTCCGAACTTGACCTTTGAACTTTGGAACTACTGTCACTGTCAGTTGTTGTAACTCGTAATCCACCAACAGGCACTTCCTTATCCATATTTGTAGCTTCTTGTATTAATCCACTTTTTGCAAAACTATCAGTAAATGATGTTTTTATAATTGACCTACTTTCACTTTCATCTACTTTCACTTTTTCTATACTTGATACTTTTGTATCCATATCACTGGATTTTTCCGAGGATTGTTTTGTAAAAGCCTCCACTGGACTTTTCCGTGGTTTAACAAAAGACTGTGTTTCCCTTGTTAGATAACTAGACTGCTGAGATTTGGTACAGACTGTGATAGGCGACACCTGTTCTGTTTGACTAGACTGTACAGCTATTGTGGAGTTATCAGCAGCCTCTGCAGCAGACTGTTTCTGTCTGTTGTCAGGTAATTCCAGGCCTCCATCACCGACCTTACCCAATCTGTGGGAGAAAGCATAATAAAGATTAAAAGTTACATAAACATGGTCAAAATCACGTTTTCCAAAAGTCTGCCTCACAAGGCAATTCAGACAATAATGTTTTTGTTTAATTCAGGGCAACATCTGTCTGCATTGTTTTATTAATGATACCAAAGTTGATAAATAAATACGGAGTAAAGAGTCTCACATGAAACATTATCTATAAGATTAAAGCCCATGGGAAAATTGTTCTGTAGAACATATAAACAATAGACGGGAGATAACACTATCCAGGTTCTCTGTTAGATATACAAGGAATCTTCAGATCCCTCAGGTCTCTACAACCAACAACATACAGACTAGCAATTAAAGATCCCTCAGGTCTCTACAACCAACAACATACAGACTAGCAATTAAAGATCCCTCAGGTCTCTACAACCAACAACATACAGACTAGCAATTAAAGATCCCTCAGGTCTCTACAACCAACAACATACAGACTAGCAATTAAAGATCCCTCAGGTCTCTACAACCAACAACATACAGACTAGCAATTAAAGATCCCTCAGGTCTCTACAACCAACAACATACAGACTAGCAATTAAAGATCCCTCAGGTCTCTACAACCAACAACATACAGACTAGCAATTAAAGATCCCTCAGGTCTCTACAACCAACAACATACAGACTAGCAATTAAAGATCCCTCAGGTCTCTACAACCAACAACATACAGACTAGCAATTAAAGATCCCTCAGGTCTCTACAACCAACAACATACAGACTAGCAATTAAAGATCCCTCAGGTCTCTACAACCAACAACATACAGACTAGCAATTAAAGATCCCTCAGGTCTCTACAACCAACAACATACAGACTAGCAATTAAAGATCCCTCAGGTCTCTACAACCAACAACATACAGACTAGCAATTAAAGATCCCTCAGGTCTCTACAACCAACAACATACAGACTAGCAATTAAAGATCCCTCAGGTCTCTACAACCAACAACATACAGACTAGCAATTAAAGATCCCTCAGGTCTCTACAACCAACAACATACAGACTAGCAATTAAAGATCCCTCAGGTCTCTACATCCAACAACATACAGAGTAGCAATTAAAGATCCCTCAGATCTCTACAACCAACAACATACAGAGTAGCAATTAAAGATCCCTCAGGTCTCTACATCCAACAACATACAGACTAGCAATTAAAGATCCCTCAGGTCTCTTCATCCAACAACATACAGACTAGCAATTAAAGATCCCTCAGATCTCTACATCCAACAACATACAGAGTAGCAATTAAAGATCCCTCAGATCTCTACAACCAACAACATACAGAGTAGCAATTAAAGATCCCTCAGGTCTCTACAACCAACAACATACAGACTAGCAATTAAAGATCCCTCAGGTCTCTACAACCAACAACATACAGAGTAGCAAATTAAAGATTCCTCAGGTCTCTTCATCGTGCAACATACAGAGTAGCAAATTAAAGCTTACTTCCATAACAAGACAAAGCATAGAGGAATAATCCTAAATATTTGCAGTCAAACCTGTTCATGGGCCCCCCTTCTAAGAAGAGACCTCCTGTGTTAAGAGACCTCCTGTGTTAAGAGACCTCCTGTATTGAGAGACCTCCATTAAGACACCATCCCCATTAAGAGACCACTTGTATTAAGAGACCCCCTGTATTAAGAAACCTGCATTAAGAGACCACCTGCATTGAGAGACCACCTGTATTAAGAGACCACCTGTATTAGGAGACCACCTGTATTGAGAGACCACCTGTTTTGAGAGACCACCTGTATTAAGAGACCACCTGTATTAAGAAACCTCCTGTGTTAAGAGACCACTTTACATGTTCCTCATTTTAGTGAGTTGCTTCTGAAATTAACCTGTATTAAGAGATTAAGATATTACTTTTTATGTTCCAAATCATAGCAATTTCTTTTTGAATTGAACCTGTATAAAGAGACCATTTGGGTTAAGAGACAATTTTAAATGTTCCCCATTATATATATTTTTTTGTTAAATGAACATGTGTTAAGAGACCAACTGTGTTAAGAGACTACTTGTATATGTTCCCTATTATTGTGATTTCTTTGTGAATTGAACCTGTATTAAGAGACCAATGTTTAGACTTCCACTTGGTGGTCTCTTAGCACAGGTCTAACGATACATATGTACAACTGTTAGTCAAGAAGGCTTCTTCAATTCGACCGATCTTCATAAAAACCAAACATACATCCCAACTGCTCCAGTCTGCATAGATAAAAAAATGAGTATCGCACATTCACAAAAACGATACTAAATCACATAAACAACACTACATGTTGTATGCTGTATCTACTGATTGCCATCACTACATGTCCTACGCTGTATCTACTGATTGCCATCACTACATGTTGTATGCTGTATCTACTGATTGCCATTACTACATGTTGTATGCTGTATCTACTGATTGCCATCACTACATGTCCTATGCTGTATCTATTGATTACCATCACTACATGTCCTACACTGTATCTACTGATTACCATCACTACATGACCTACACTGTATCTACTGCTTACCATCACTACATATCCTACGCTGTATCTAATGAATTCCATCACTACATGTTGTATGCTGTATCTCGTCATTGCCATTACTACATGCTGTATGCTGTATCTACTAATTACCATCACTACATATCCTACGCTGTATCTAATGAATTCCATCACTACATGTTCTATGCTGTATCTAATCATTGCCATCACCACATGCCCTCCGCTGTATCTACTGATGGCCATCACTACATGTTGTATGCTTTATCTACTGATTGCCACCACTACATGTCCTATGCGGTATCTACTGATTGCCAGGGGTACATATGTCCTATGCTGTAGCTACTGATTACCATCGCTACATGTCCTACGCTGAATCTACTGATTGCCAGGGGTACATATGTCCTATGCTGTATCAACTGATTGCCATCACTTCATGTCCTAGGGTGTATCTACTGATTGACATCACTACATGTCCTCCACTGTATCTACTGATTGACATCACTACATGTCCTCCACTGTATCTACTGATTCCATCACTACATGTTTTAGGCTGTATCTACTGATTTCCATCACTTCATGTCCTAGGGTGTATCTACTGATTGCCATTACTACATGTTGTATGCTGTATTTACTGATTGCCATCAGTAGATACAGCCTAAGACATGAAGTGATGGCAATCAGGAGATACAGCATAGGACATATGTACCCCTGGCAATCAGTAGATATAGCGGAGGACATGTAGTGATGGGAATCAGTAGATACAGTGGAGGACATGTAGTGATGGGAATCAGTAGATACAGCGTATGACATGTAGTGATGGGAATCAGTAGATACAGGGTAGGACATGTAGTGATGGGAATCAGTAGATACAGTGGAGGACATGTAGTGATGGTGATCAGTAGATACAGCGGAGGGCATGTGGTGATGGCAATGATTAGATACAGCATAGAACATGTAGTGATGGAATTCATTAGATACAGCGTAGGATATGTAGTGATGGTAATCACTACATGTCCTATGCTGTATCTACTGATTGCCATCACTACATGTCCTACGCTGTATCTACGGAGCAAAAACCATACATTAATTCCAGACTTGCCAACTTAATCATAATTTGTCATTTTTTTCAGCTCTTGACAACCTTGTTTAAACTGCCATAAAATGACATCATGAGCACACATCCAGCAGACCTTTCTCAGACAATATTTGACATGTCTAAGTAGACATTTCACCTGTGTCAATTAGCATATAATCTACATACTTTGTTAACTCAAATAGAAGTCTTCACGGATAAAGTACAACGCATACACGTCTGATGCATATAAATGTGCAGATAGAATGCACAAACTGTTTTCATATGTATGTGTGGAAACGCTGTACATCCAATTCATATGCCAGTGATAGTAATTATCTGTAGAATTAATATTGTGGAAAATTTTAATTGGTAATTGAGTCTCACAGCAAATTAATGTGAATTTTAATCTCTTGCACCAAGAATTAACATTAAAAGGAAATCATATGCTACAGAAAGATATCGTAGAATACAAATAATTTATAACATGAATTTCACATCACAGAATGCTACACCAGAAAAGTGATATTGTGGAAAATTTAAATTGGCAATTTAATCCCCCAGCAATTTAACATGAATGTAATTAATCTCTTCCACAAAGTAAATTACTCTAAAAGAAAGGCATATAATTAGTAATTTACTACAGAAAGCTGATGATGTCGTAGAATACAATAAATTATCATATGAATTTCATTTCACAGAATGCTACACCAGAAGAAAACCTTACAAAAAGAAAGGAAGCTTAATATTAACACCTTAAGACCGCTAATATGATCTCTCATGATACTGTCTACATATTCGTGACAGACTATGCAAGCATCATCAGTCGCAACATGTAGACAGTTAACATACATAAAGATAAAAAAAAGTGATCTTGTGGTGTTGAGCATCCTTTAACTTTATAATGTTTTACTAGTGTGGCACTCTAGCGAATCCACCCACAGATCTGTCCGAGATCGCGACCACAATATGTCAGTCACATTGCGAGTGTTAGATCTTCTGACATTATTAATCAACATGAATAACACATGACTAATTCATATCACAGAATATAATTCCACTAAACTATGCATGAATACTACATGTATTGTACAACACTATACAACAATGATACAAATGAATACCATACAAATACACAGAATATATTTACCAAAAAATACAAGAGAATAGCATATAAATAAACCAAATACTTTTACCACAAGAACACACAGACTACTTTTTACAACAAGAATACAAGAGAATACCATCACAATACACAATGCTTTTTACCACAAGAATACAAGAGAATACCATCACAATACACAATACTTTTTACCACAAGAATACAAGAGAATACCATTACAATACACAGAATAACTTTACCACAACAATACAAGATAATGCTTTTACCACAA